AATTAAGATTATTATAGTGGATTTACCAGTATATCAATATCTTTACCATGGACAATCTTATTAAAATATATTTTATTTATTCAAATACAGCTGATTAGACTACTGAATATTTTGTTGTTTATCTTTTTTTTAGTGAATCTTTTGCCTGACTTCTGTACCAAGGGGTCTTTGCCAATACAGTCTGTGGCACATAGGATCTTTGGTTTAATTTCCCATCAAACAACCACTTGCTTTTCCCATGACAGCCCCTCCAACCTGAATCCATTTCAAGGAAAAAACAGGTTAATTGTTGTTGAATTTCTGGTCTGCATCTTCTTCACAGAGAAACCCTGGGTTTACGATATTTCTCCAGGTTATGGTTTAAATTATGAAAGTAAATAGTAACCACGAGTTACCATCATTTGATTTTAATCACCGGCAATCAGCCGCCATGTTGGAGAGATATTATAAACCTCAACTTAAACCAAATCATTAAAACAATCAATTCCACACCACACCATTCCTGCTGGTTTCCAAAACAACCAGAAAGAGCATGACTATGTGGAAATTCCTGGCAGGAAATGACAATACCCTTTCTCACAGTGGTGTTGGTATTTTATTATTGTGAGAAACAACATTGGTCAACAGTTAAAGGAATAATAGTCAAGTCAAATGAAGATCAAGTAAAACCTGCTTTCAAAAGTTTTACATTGATATTGGATGGATGAATGAATGAATGAATGAATGAATGAATGAATGAATGAATGAATGAATGAATGAATGAATGAATGAATGAATGAATGAATGAATGAATGAACAAAGTTGGCAAACAGTTAAAGAAATGAAGCTTGGTCAAGTGAAGATCAATTAAAAACCTGCTGTCAAAAGTCCTAGATTCTACTGTGATAATGAATGAATGAATGAATTAATGAAACAAGTCAAGGAATGAATGAATGAATGAATGAATGGATGGATGGATGAATGAATGAATTAATGAAACAAGTCAAGGAAGGAAGGAAGGAAGGAAGGAAGGAATGAATGAATGAATGAATGAATGAATGAATGAATGAATGAATGAATGAATGAATGAATGAATGAATGAATGAATGAATGAATGAATGAATGAATGAAATGAAGCTACAAGTGAAACAGTGAGTCAGCCAAGAAATGAATGAATGCTGGCCAGGTCGACTATAGATCATGTTTAGTTAACACAAGTTTCCACAAGTTACTGGCCGATTGATTTGATTCATGTTGAAAACTTCTTTCAATCTTTCTTACCTCCTTTGTTGAAAACTTATTTATTTTATTAACGCCATCTTCATTATCATTTAAATGAACCGAACAAAAATAATTGGTAAATGACAAGGTTGGTGTTATAATGAACATCCATCACAACGAAAATGGTAAAACTCCATTAATCAAACTAAACCACACACAATTTAGTGTTAATATTGTTGGGTAATTTAGTTGGTAGAGAGATGGCACAGAACGCAGTGGGAACTCAAGCAATGTTAGGTGTGACGCAGGCAGAGTATGCTAACTCTTCCAGACACCTGATACCACTTTTGAATATGATATACTTACTCACTTATAATTGATATACTTTCTCTTGTGAAAAGTTCATTAGCTGCTATCAATGTATTGCCAAACTGTTGTTTTGGATATAAAGTTTATTTTTGCGGTTCAGATCGTTAGTGCTTGGTTTATTTATTGAGCAGCAATGACAGATGTGACGCAGATAGAGTACGCTGACCCTTTTAGACACCTGATACCACTGTTCATTATGATATACATCCTCATTTAAAACTGATATACTTCCTCAAGTGAATAGTTTATAAGCTGTTACCAGTGTATTGCCAATATGTTATTTTGGATTTTGGGTTTTGTTTTGTGATTTTAATTGCTATTTCATTTCCTTGATACATATTTCAGATAACTAATTTACTACTGCAGTAAATTTATGATAACATTTCTGTCAAAATACAGATGATTGACAAATATTTTCTTATTTTCACCATAATTTGAATCATGTATTCCCTATTAGTCTGTTTCACCCAATCTTAACTCAAATTTCCAATGATTTGATTGGTTATTCATTACAATTAATTTTAAATCTGACTTGGCTAACCAATCAAATTACTGAAATTTTAAAATCTGGATTTTTTCTTTGCTAACATTTAGTGAAATAGTATCCTGAATATTACACTCTTAGTTAAGTTTGTGTGAATCCAGCTGTTGGATTTTATAACACATTTTTGATTTCTTATCCACTTGATATAAATTGTCCTATACCTCATCATTAAAACTGACACTTTTTGAATACACATCAGACAAGAATGGCAAACACATTCCATAACAGGACAAAAAGTTGTGAAAATTCCAAATTTTGACATATTTCTAAGATCATAGAATTCAGACACATAATGAAAGGGAAAAAAATACAAAAGTATTAAAAAACGTGAAGGAAAAGGGAAGATACTGTAGCCAAGTCATTCACCTCAAATCTAAAGATCTCTTGATGTAAACTAGACCACAATTTTCAACTTAACACCATTACCACATTGAGGAGCTGTGAATCAAATTATCACCTGCTCTCTAGTGACAAGACATAGTGGTAGCAGGTGAAACTTGTGAAATTTGAACTTAATTCATTATCTCTTACAGAAAAAAAACCTGCTGAATGGACATAAAATTTTGAATATAAAAAAGTAACAAAACCGACACACGTCCAGACCAAAGTGTAAAATTAATATCATCCATGCGTCACTGAATATATCTGCATTATCATGAATAACCTAAGGGTACTAGAATAAAACTAATACTTTCAAGTTTTTGAATTTCCGCTTTTTTTGACATTTAAAAGCAGCAATTTCTTTTTCAAAATTCAATACAAAGAACAAAGCAGATATTACAATGAATGTCCGCAAAACGTGCAGATCAAATTCAGATACAAAATATAAATTAGGATATGAGTTTGAAAGTTTGAAAAAATATTGTCATCTATGTGCACTATTATCATTGCCAAGGAATCCATGTTTTACTCTGGTTCTGATTTTTGCCTATACAACATTAATAATATAAGCCATGTGAACTCTTTGAAAGGGAAGCTGAATAGACAAACCCAGTTGTGGACTCTCTGAAAGGGATGCATCTCAGACAAACCCTGCTTGAAGAGCAGTATCAGGTGTTCTGAAAGAGTATTCCCTCAACAATTTGACCTGCCTTCACAGTACTTTGGTCTGGTTAAAGTGAATACCTTAAAGAATGACCATAAGGAATTGTCTGATATATGTCCAGCATGCATATAAACAATGTGTCTTTCTTAGACACTGACTGTCTCAACTCCAGCTTGCTAAATACATGTTTAAGATGGCCTTCTACTGTAATAGGTAGGTCAAGCTAGCAATAATCTTATAGTACAATTCAACTAAAACCTTGATAGTTTGGCAATCAGCCAGCCGTCAGTGTTTTGAGTATAGAAATCCAATGAAAACTGAAAGCTTTAGTTGAATAGTTCAGTTTCAATATAGTTGCTTTGTTGAAAATTGCGTGGTGAAGGATCATAAAACTTGAATAAAATTGAGAAAATATGGGGAATATGGCTGAATAAAGAGTTAACTGTGGTTCTCATGTTTAATAGCTTCTATATGAATATCTATTTCAAATAATTATAGCGATCAAAATGATAAAATAACTTATTATAAATAATATTATTATATATTTAAAAATACCAGTCAAGGACATGGGCAACTACCATGTTGTTTTTCTAGATATGGGACTGCTTCAATTACAGCCTAAATTCAAAAATTTTATTACTTTGATTTCAAAAAGGGGTAAAAGACAGTATCCTAATTCACAACTTAATACACCTCCACACTCTCGAAGTTCTTTTCATTTCTGCAAAGAATTATCTGCAAATAGCCCCCAATTCTGTGGCCATTACTCAAAATTCCCCACCAAAATGATTCATATAACTGTAAGTGCTTATACAATTAATCAAAACCAAACATCTTCATCTTTATAAATCTTTACAAGTTTGTAATATACTCTTCTCTCCTCTGTTATAGATATTTTTTGAAGATTGTATATCTGAAGATAGTTGGCTAATCTGAGATGAGCCTTACTAAATTTTATTAGAGATCTCCAACTTCAACCCTTAACCCTATAAATGAGACCAAGATGAGATAAACCATCATCATATTAACCCTATAAATGAGACCAAGATGAGATAAACCATCATCATATTAACCCTATAAATGAGACCACAAAAAATAAACCATCATCATATTAACCCTTCAGACAGAACTACTTCTTATTTAAAAAGACATACTGTGAATGTTCAGTATGCCCTAGGGCTGGTCAGGACCTATTTGACTCACAATTTAAACACTAGATCAATATAAAAGGCCATGAGCGTCAATCTTGCATAAATAAATCAATTTTTAACCTAATAAAAGTAAGAATAAAGACCAATGATTTATGTATTTCAAACTCCCCTACTTTTTAACATATTAACTTTAGTTCTAATCCTACACTATATCAATACTATTGTCAGATTAGACATGTTTTTGTAATAAATTGTAAAAGATTTTGGTTTGATAGTATACAATATAAACAATATTAGCTATGTGTACTATTGGTTAGAAATATCTTTGATTTTAACAGGACAGTATTAACAACACACCTGTTAACAGCTACTACACATCTCCTGTCCTAAGAAAGAAAAAACTAATGACTAAAATGCATGGGGTAGGGTTCTCTAATAATACAGTCACATCACCGCACATGGGGTAGCGTGGATCCAAACATCCATAAAATCATGTATGGGACCAAGGTTTCTAAAAAAACAGTGAAATCACCACCCATAAGGCTACCCCACATCATGTCCCAAAACATAAACTTAAAATATCTGAGTAAAATATATTAGGGGATCACAGTTTCAAAAACTGTCAAATTATCAGCCTGGGTGATACCAGACAACCCTTGCCTTAGGGAGGAAACAGAAGTTCACTACTTACCATTTATAATATTTTCAATCTCAATATTTTCATCATCGGATTCTGTCCCTGAGTCTCGTTCATCGTCAGACTGGAAAATAGAAAAATTATATTTGATTATCCAGTCCATCAGTATTTCACAATTTCACAAAATCAAAATGATATGCAAAGATTGTCAATAGAATGTACAGTCATTAACAGTGATTCATTTTAACACAGAATATAGCAGAACTTCTGCAAACAAGAACAAACAGGGACAGCTAGCTTAATCAAGCTCTAATCAGACCTGATTTACAATACAGTCAAATGGCTATTAAAGTGTTGTATATTGCAAAAGGTTGCCCAATATTTCACAGACACATTATGTTCAAGCCAATATATATTTACAGTATCATTCAATGTTCAGAGGTTTGTATATTACGCAACAATTTTCATGATAGAACACTTTATCAAAATCGCAAGAAAAGGTAAAAATTTGAATCAGGGAGTTATATTTATACATCTAGGGCAAAATTTAAACCGAAATCTTTGACTGTGATATTTTATCTGAAATCATCTAATACAGAAAGAAGTATGAAATGTAAAACTCGGCCATGAGAAATAAAATGTGGGTTAATTTAAAAAGAAATTGTAAAAGCAGTGAAGCAGAATTTTTCTCCAGCTGTATGTAAGTTGATCAGAGTCAAGGGGGCCTCATACCACAAAACAGTTTATAACTTCAGTGCACTCCATTTTATAAATTTACATCATTTTATAACTTAATCGATAACTTTTACTTGATTTATAATGTTTTAATTTCACATATATCAGATAAAGATCTTATAACTTTATTTGAGTTGTCAGATTCACAAAGTTTAGATATTAAAAAATTTATAGCCAATGATATAACGCTCCCAAATTCTGTGCTAATATTGTATTCAGTTGGGTTGGTTGATGTTTTAAGGTCTAATACATCAAGCTACAGAAGGTCATTGAACAAAAAAAATTTTTTGCATATAATACAAGTGCAAATAAAATTTACACAATGTTAAATGTTATTTTAGTTGTAATTGATCCCCATTTGATATTTTTGAAGAAATTCTTACATCTATGTAACATTGAATTGAGTTGATAACAAGTCATAAGAATATGCTAGATTCTTACTAAAGACGAAATAACTAATATTGAAATACAGGGTGGGTTACAGAATTCAATATTTGAGGATTTAAAAAATAAATAAATCATTTGAAAAAATCATTTGATTGTTAACTTTGAGTTTCTTTAAAAAGTTAACATGAGCATTCCACATTTTAACTGGCTTAACAAAAATAAATACATCAATTCAAACCTTATTTAACAACACTATTCCTACCTCCATTTTTTTGTTGAAAAGTTTAAAAAAGCAAATAAAGTTGATCAATAAAAAAATAATTTGATTTAAAATGGAGGAAATGTCAATAGAAATTTATAGTTTATTGCCTTTTTAACAGTTCTAGGATGATGTACTTCCCTATGTAAATGCAGGGTTACTGACTGACAATAGCTCCAAACAGGTGATTTTCCTTGCATGTCTGACTAGAGCTCTAGGCTGTTGATTTGACTGTATTTATCAGACATGTCTGACTAGAGCTCTAGAAGTTGATTCGACTGTATTTATCAGACATGTCTGACTAGAGCTCTAGACTGTTGATTTGACTGTATTTATCAGATATGTCTGATTAGAGCTCTAGAAGTTGATTTGACTGTATTTACCAGTCATGTCTGACTAGAGCTCTAGAAGTTGATTTGACTGTATTTACCAGTCATGTCTGACTAGAGCTCTAGAAGTTGATTTGACTGTATTTACCAGTCATGTCTGACTAGAGCTCTAGAAGTTGATTTGACTGTATTTACCAGTCATGTCTGACTAGAGCTCTAGAAGTTGATTTGACTGTATTTACCAGTCATGTCTGACTAGAGCTCTAGAAGTTGATTTGGCTGTATTTACCAGTCATGTCTGACTAGAGCTCTAGAAGTTGATTTTACTGTATTTACCAGTCAAGTCTGACTAGAGTTCTAGACTGTTGATTTGACTGTATTTACCAGTCAAGTCTGACTAGAGCTCTAGAAGTTGATTTGACTGTATTTACCAGTCATGTCTGATTAGAGCTCTAGAAGTTGATTTGACTGTATTTACCAGTCAAGTCTGACTAGAGCTCTAGAAGTTGATTTGACTGTATTTACCAGTCATGTCTGATTAGAGCTCTAGAAGTTGATTTGACTGTATTTACCAGTCATGTCTGATTAGAGCTCTAGACTGTTGATTTGACTGTATTTACCAGTCATGTCTGACTAGAGCTCTAGAAGTTTATTTGACTGTATTTACCAGTCATGACTAACTACAGCTAAAGATTATATTTAGATGAAGATATCACTATAAAGTACCTGTAATATAAGAAACTCTAGGTATATTCTCACCTTTATAAGTCAATACTACAGTTTATTTAAACAGTCAATGGACACCAGGACCCACAAAATGTCAAAAGGTTAAAACTGCCTCAAGTCATTCAACGAATAAATTTCAACTTGAGATAGATAGCCTACTAGTATATGTTGAATGATCCATGATAGCTGTAGACAAGTTATATATTCCAATCTCTGAATATCAAATTTTGCCGTGAATTTGAATTTGACTAGATCAGATTCAACATACCCTTTAATTTGCCACAGTTTGTCATTTAAAATAAGTTTCTTGATAAAATACAGATTTGTGGGATATATCGAAATCTAAAGTAGAGCAATAGGAAAGCCTCTTTTAGTTCCGCTATCCCACTATTCTTTATGTTAAAGAGAAACAGGTTTTACATGACACAATTTGATTGGTTAAGAATAACATCATTTGGACAGGGTTTTGGTTGATTGTAGACAAAAAATACAAAATTGTAATCAAGCTCTAATTAGATTCCACTATAATTTGAATTGCCATTTGTAAACAACTCCAACCATATCAAAACAACCATTAAAATCATCATAATAAACTGTTTACAAAAACTCTACCTTCATTCAACTGTGATACAATGTACAACGTACAACAATAGAATAATTAAAAATAATTAGCTATTTTTTAATTATGGATTCAATTGTTTACTTGTGAAATTTCAATTACAAATTTTTAATTGCAACAATAAATGAAAACATTGCTATTAAAAAAAATTGTTTCAGCAAACTAAAATAAAGCAGCCATCCCATTTGAAGTAAAGTATGTGATTGGGGAGGAGAGCCTCACGAGACTAGGGTTAATAAATAGGGGGGACACTGACTTAAAATTGGGGAACAATGGACCGAGGTTGAGATTCAAATTGAGGCAGGTCTCCTGGAGTGTCTGAGAGGGGACTTCTCCTGGGGTGTCTGAGAGGGGACTTCTTCTGGGGTGTCTGAGAGGGGACTTCTCCTGGAGTGTCTGAGAGGGGACTTCTTAAAGAAAATTTTGATGAATAGAATTTATTTGGTGCATTCTTGAAACATATTTGAGCGAAAACCCAATAAAACTCACAGTCTTAAATTTATGAGAATTATAGTGGGGGGAACAATTTGAGGAACAATTTAAGGGTGCAATTTCAACCCACGTCTCCCCTGTACCCTCACAGACACAAAAAACTGATGCCACCTTTAATAGGGATATTACTTCCTTACATGACATTCAAATAACTTGATAAAATCCATGATAATATCATATTAATGTATTATGTCAGTTTAAATAGGCTATATTGATTCTGCATCACAAATTATATAGATCTAGACCTACTACACTGAAGGAAGTAGATCTAAATTCCATAAAGTGAGTGAAATGAACATTTTTAACAAAATGAAAATAAAATTGGCAACTTTAATAAAGGAAGTTATATATATCATAGGCCTACCATAATAATTGTTTTGTCATTACTAAATGAAAATCTATAATGCACTGACTTCTTACTCATAGGCCCCTCATAATTCTGAACCATAATGCAGCCTGGCTTCAAAATAGTATTATAACATAATAAGTATTAAAATATATTTGCACTGAGAGATATTAACATGAGCACAAATCGACTCATTTAGAAACTATAGTAATTTCCACTTCTGAGAGGCCTATAGATGGATATATATATGAGCTATTGAAAGACATTATATTTTACTTTTTATTTTGCTTACCGCACTTACTTTATCAGGCATTATACCTAGGTTACTAATGAATGAAATGAGTGAAGTGTTCAACAAGATAATTGTCGTTATCTATTTTAAAATGAACAATAAATACATTTGACAAACAAAGAAAACCGTAAATAAATTACCAAATTCTGTAATGTGTTCAAGGGAGTCGCCATCGTTCCCTATCAAGAATACACCGTAATCCGTTTCATGTAATTACGCCACAAAAAGTTTGGCAGCTCTGACACCGAATGAATTAGGCAAAATAACCACAATTCCTCACAACACACCAAAATCAATATAGTTTTGACACTTTAAATGCTCTTTTTATTATGCAAATATGGTATTAAAAACCACCGAGCCGTTTTAGAACTATTTATCCCTCCGATAGTGTGTTTTCCTCAAAAAACATTGAAGAATACACACAGGCATCCACAGCATAATTGTTCCTGGAAAAGTCGTAACTTTGTTTAGGAATGAATAAAATACAGCGATTGTTTTCGATATTCAGACATAAAGTTATTGTCTGATAACGCGATATTTACGATTTGTTTTCAAAACCATGTACGAAAATTTTCTTTTTCTTAATGACAATTCTAAATTTTCATAAAAAAATTGGTTGAACAAAAGTTTCATTAAAACGACAGTTCAAGCTCTTATCAATATATAAACCCGTAGCCTCAATATGGCCCGTGAGTTATACCAGTAAATACATAACACTATAACGTGATATTCATTCACTACCTTCATAATACACAACCACTTTCCCGCGCTTTCTAGAACCAGACGTCAATTACTATATTATACTCTTACGTTCAATTCCGGTAAATACCGCGGAATACCGAAATCCTGTCGAAATCAAACTGTCTCTGCCTTATCAATTGTCAGTCATTTGATTACCCGAAACTCTGCCAAATGTATTTGTAAACAAAACTTCATATTTGCACGTTTGACGAAAATAGGTCAAATTCTGGTAGCGTATTTAAACATTGTATAAAGCCAAGAGAGAGATCGGTTTTAAATTGCAGACGAATTCTCAGCGTTTCAAGGCTCAAGCTCCAGAAATTGTCATTTTCGTTGAATTTGCGTGGGCTTTTTTCAATGCAGACCTACTTACTCCTTGATTCCCAGGTTATTGTGAAATAAAACCTGTCATCAATGATCTACGGAGCCTAATGTGGGCACCGATTCTTTACCCATTCTACAGGTTTGCCTGTTTATTTTTTCAGGATTATTTTTACAGTGTAGGGTCTAGATTGTTTGTGTGCATTATGTAATAATATGCAAATTGATTTGCAAGCGCAAGCCAATGCGAATTAGCAAATATATTTTATCAACTTTTGTTATGGATTTGGGATCAAAAAGATTTATGGGACTTCATTTCTTGGGATGATCATGTAATTTATTGCATGACAATGCTGTAATCCCTATCCGTAGTGGGTGCAGAAAAGAACTCGGAAATTTCAAGCCGATTAAATTATGCGAATCAGCTCTATTTTTAACATGACCATTACGTCATTGTGTAAAATTCTCTGTACTAACCTTTTGATCGACGATTGACAAGGGTCGAACCTCCGTGATCGACTGAGACTTGAGCTTATGAGTTAAAAACTTGAGCATATCCGAGGATTTCCTGAACAAGATCCCCAAAGACAACCAAAGAAGGCATCAAAGGCCTGCGAATTCCTGAACGAACGACTTCACTAACACGTTTCTTGGCCTACTGGCCCGACTTTATTTTATACATGAAACATGTCAAGAACTTCGCCACTTCAAAACACAGCAAAAATACGACTAAATTCCTTCAACACATTCAAATACAGGCGTTATCACTATTTTAGTTTAGCATTCGGCCATAGCCATTTCTCTTATTCCTATCTACAACATTCACACCGACTGCATTTTACTAACGGTACTTTTGGCCTATATAAAACATGGGGTTATCCGGAATTATTGCCCGGGGTTGGTGGGTTGCTGTAAAACTCGGTCAGTAGTAAACAAACCAACCGTAATAATTCTTATTCAGGGGTTTCAACACCAAATATCATAATGGCGTGAAAGATAATGATTAGAATTGCACATATAATCAAAAATATTGAAAAATCACTCAATATTTTTGCAGAAATGACGGAAAATATAAAATAACAGAACTACCCGTGTCCCCTATGAATTATCAACTCTACCACTATCCCTGTGTTCTGATTGGTT